CTGATAAAATTAGTCTTAGTGTTAGGGCGTGTAGAGATAGAAGCATGGCTCTACGTGCGATCTGATAACTTTTTGTCCGTGCGAGTGATACATGATCCCGTCTTGGCAACATTTTCCATGAAAATGTTTTGGTGAGATCTTTTATTAGTTCAGGCTTTCGGCACCTGTGTACGTCAAGAAGCCTCCCCATACAAATCTACGGCGAGGGACCTTGTACTAAGAAGCGGCAAGAAACTCGGCAAGAGGTTGTTTTTTCACCCTGTAGGTATTATTTTAATACAGAGTCATCAAATTAAAAAATGAAGTCAGAGATAATTCATGAAGTCGTTTTCCATTACATATTTTTATTCTTTACTAGCTTTTGCCCGCGACTTCGTCCGCATTTTCGTCGATTTTCGTAAAAAAGTAGCATATGTCCTTCCTCAGTGTTCCGTGGTTTTGATGTGACAGACAGATTAACTTTCGTATTTTAGTAGGGAAATATAATATGTCAATCCACAATACTGTTAAAAATATCGCAATAAGGAACCGCAGAATATTATTATTATCACTGTGCCCCGAGACCATCAGCGTGTAACTCCTTGTATGTTATTATGTTAATGTATTGGTAATATTGTTTAGATCCCTTTCACATGAGGCTTAAGTACATATAGAATGAAAATACATCAGCGCAAAGCTTCCGGGTAAACTACGTTGAAAGTTGACCCGTCCGGCACGTGAACATAATAATTTCTAGGACTGCTGACCCAGGAAAGAGCGACATAACTGACCATGTGAAAAACAACTGACACCGAGATCTACTCCAGCAACACGAAAAGTCTGCCCTTGAGCCTTATTTACTGTCGTTGCATAACACACCGATACTGGGAATTGCGTTCTTTTAAATTGGAATGGAAAATTATTTGTTATTATGGGAATTCTGGGAATAAAGATGGTTTTTCCTGCACCGCAACCTGTTAAAATTTGAGCCTCGATTACATTTTGTTGCAACTGGGTTCCATTGCAAATTTGTGGTGGTCTTAAATTTCGGAGCAGAATAATAGGAATGCCAATTTTTAAACAAATTTCATGAGAAGGAAGTCCGGTCGCATATTTAAAGAATTTAAAAATTCTATTGGGTAATTAGTGGTTTCTTGTTCATCGGCCATTCTATTTATTGAACTATAAACTTTGCTTTCCCCCTGGATATTCGACAGTATTTTATTATTAATCTCAGATGCCTGGTCATTGCGAGGAGTTAAAATGGACCTTTCGCATAGCCAAGAATTCTCCTTATTTAATATATTTGTTACGTCACCGTGAACTGACGATGTAAGATGTTGTTGGGATTGCACTATACAACATAACTCAGGCGTCCGAATAAGTTTTCCTTGGTGTAGCAGTGGATAGGTATCTTTGGTGAAGGTATTTTCTTTAATAATATATCAGAAAATTCACGACCATCCGGGTTATCTACAGTTCTCACTCGCATGTTTATAGTCAAATGCACCGATTGTATATCACGCCACAAATAAGAGCTTTTCAGGCAAGCCCTAACCTCATCAGCTCGGGTTCCCCGTGGTATTACCGGTAAGATTTGTAGGAAATCACCACAAAATAAAACTGTGATACCGCCCATTGGTCGATCATTTTGTCTTATATCCCTTAAAGTTCTGTCTACCGCTTCTACTCCTTTTCGATGGGCCATCGTACATTCATCCTATATGATTAAATTACACTTTGAACGAATATTTAAACACTACCAAAACAACTAATACGTGGTCCTAACTTTAGCTACCTTACACTTAAAATCTAAAATATTCTTATAGAATTATAACCAGAAATATATACAACTCACAACAAAAAAGAAATGAAAATAAAGCTGAAACGCCTGTGCAATACTGTCTACCTATACCTACTTCACTTAAAAATAAATACTTATAACTACTTTAATTAATAAAAGTACCTACGCTTAATAATTTATAATTTGAATGAATATTTAAACACCAACCCATCACCACCATTACCAAAACAACTAATACCTATTTTACAAAATAACAACAAAAGAAATTCAAATAAACTATTTAAAGACTAAAAGTCGCGCTGATAAGCACGGTTACTCAATATTTCTCAATTATTGTCTGTCAATAAGGTCGAACGCTCTGAACGCATCAATAGCCAAATATTGAAGGTCGCTCGCTCTTTTTTTTATTTTTTTTGTTTCCTCCCAGGCGGGGGAGCAGGTGAGAAATCCTCATGGATACCCCACAGCCGGCTGCAAGGTTATGCCAGACTCGTACTGACTAAAAAACACCCGTAGGGGCTGCCTCTGGCCTCTAAGGCTTCATCGGAAGCGATCGCCCCCGGGGGGGGTGGGGGGAGCTATTTGATACCCTACCGCCGCCGCGACCCGTGTCGAGCGCGGCAACCGTTACACAAAAATAATCCTTATAGCATGATTCAGTATTCACGTGCGACGGGCGACGGCGCGATGGCTTATTTCATGTATAAGTTTGGTGTTTCTATACCGATTTCTATGTTTTGTTTTTATTGAATAGGTAATAATGTTAAATTTTTTAAATTAGCGATGAGTCAGAGTATTATAAACGTAAGAGTAAACAAATATGATCAGAATGCTCCGAACTGCTAAGCTATCGGGAGTTACACGTGTTACTGTGAGTCAACCATAAAAGATAGACATATGCTGTTGCGGAATATTTTTTAGACAATTTTATGTACAATATTTCCGTCATACACGATTTCTATGTAACTTTAATCATTAACCCTGCACACGCGACGGAAGCTTAAAAAATGGAGTAACTTCTCCCGTTTTCCCAACATTTCCCTTCACTACTCTGCTCCTATTAATTGTAGCGTGATGAAAAGTATACTATAACCTGCCCAGGAGTATGAAGAGTAATTGTACCAAGTTTCGTTAAAACCCGTCGAGTAGTTTTTGTTTCTATAAGGAACATACACACAGACAGACAGACAGACAAAAAATTTACTGATTGCATTTTTGGCATCAGTATCGATCACTAATCACCCCCTGATAGTTATTTTAAAAATATATTTCATGTACAGAATTGACATCTCTACAGATTTATTATAAGTATAGATTTCGAGCCTACCTAGTTCGAATAAGTCTATTTACACCAACTTTTCGTATTGTCTAACTATAATTATCTTTCCTGGGTAAGACAAGGCTGGGTGGCTTGTATTGCTTTCAAATTACCTTTATACAAGGATTTATTATGGATACCCACATTAAACCTGACTAATTTTTACATTGGGAAAATGAATAACACACCTAGACTTGCGGCCAAGCTCAGTGTCTCATCATAAGCCTACCCACTAAAAACCTTACAGATCGACATTGGACATCTCTTTGCAGTACTAGCATCAGGCAAGACACCGGAACGGAAAGTATTCTAAGTTATCCTTGGTGGATCCCTCCGACTCCGTTGTCGACGATGTACACAGAGCACAACTATATTGTCGTTGGGTCCGTAAAATACAGGGTCAAGGGACAACCAAGCCCAAATCCCACCGGTACTCTTGAAATTCCAGACCAGCCGAGCTAAAAAAGTTATCTTAAATATGATCATGACTTTAATGAATAAAAATATAAAGACAATAAGGTACGGACCAATGTAAACTTTAAGATATAATAAAAAAAGAACTTCCCTGTCTACCCGACTGACCTGTGTAAAACTCAAAAATAACGATCAAGCTTTGAACATAAATAAGTAATTGTAGCTACCTATTTCCTACTCCAAAGACAGTATAAGTACTGGTGTACCTGGAAGCCGGTGGACTAGCAGGATGAATATTATTGATATACAGTACCTACAGTATCCGGAACTAACAACTCTCTTTTTAAAAATTGAGGGACGTAACTTTGTAAAAATAAATCGTATTATGCAGAATCAATTTAAACATAAGTTTGGACGGAGGTAGGAGCATTTAAGCAGTGCATAGAAGGTATACGTAAATATTCAGTGTGCTGTAAGGTTATGGTGGTGAACGGATGCGCTAAATTACCGGGAAATATTAAAATCGAATATTGGCATTTTATATTTTAATGCAATTTCGCGTAGACTCAAGAAATTATAATAATAATAGCTACTTAAATACGCATTTAAAACATTCAAAATCGCGTCGAGTAGAGTGGACGCCGCAGGGTGGCAGTTTGTAAAGATGCAAGAAGTCTTCGAAGATGTAAATATATATATATATATATATATATACATATATATATATATATATATATAAAACTCAAAGGTGACTGACTGACTGACATAGTGATCTATCAACGCACAGCCCAAACCACTGGACGGATCGGGCTGAAATTTGGCATGCAGGTAGATATTATGACGTAGGCATCCGCTAAGAAAGGATTTTGATCAATTGTACCCCGAAGTGAAGCGAGGGCGGGCCACTAGTTTATTATAAGATCTTACCCAGTAATAGTGAGTGGTACAAGACCCTTTTGGGTTGTAGCAACAAACTTGAGCTTAACATTATATACCTACATTAATTTGACGGCGCAAACAATGTTATAGGTTAATTAAAAAAAAAACAATTCAGGTCCAACCAAATTTAAACAAAATCAAACACAAATAAAAAAAATAATCAAGTCAAATTATATCTTAACATCACATATCAATAGGATGATGATAAATCTATGATTTGCTTACCTATCTTGAATCTATTGACCACTGACGACCTCCGTGACCGAGTGGTTTGTACGCCGGGTTTCATGGTGTCGCCGACTCGAGAGGTCCCGGGTTCGAATCCCGGTAGGGGCAGATGTTTGTGTGATGAATACGAGCATTTGTACTCCAGTCATGAATGTTTAATATGTATTTCTATATAAATATACTTATACATGTACAATATATGTATTCTATCCGTTACCCTAGTATCCCATAACACAAGCCTTACAGTGCTTACTTTGGGGCTAGGCTAATTGGTGTTAGTGTTGGAAATATGTATTTATTTAAATTTATTTTACTTACCTATAGTTTCCGAAATCCTCAGGTTGTACATTTGCGATCAACAAAGTATGGTTGTTTCCTCGCGCCGACATAGTGATCCGATCCGTGGCGCTCAATGGGAACGAGTTCTGGTACCACGTCACCTGGGAACGAGGAATGTTCTGAGTTTACAGAAGTTCACTAGCAGTTTTCCAAGAATAAAACATTATACTGTGGCGGCGACATCTATATGCCCCACATATAACTAAAATGGAGGAAATAATCACTCGCCTCCTCAAGAGATGGCGCTACCGGCGCTGCGTTCACAACGTAAGGAAGCCTACATCGCGCAAGTGAAATTCGGTAGCCAACAGTTCATATATACGATGCCCGACCAACATCAGTCGGGCCGCGGCCCCCGAGCTAACATCACCCAGCTCGGAGGAAGATCTTCCCCTTTGGCCTTCCCACAATACGTTTATACCATGAACTAATTATATATACAGGGTGTCCCACGGGTTAGTCACACGGGGAGAGAAAGTATATTAAATATTGAAGATAGGGTGTTTTACTGAAAGAAGACATCATTTTTGATGTGTAACATCTTTCCTCTTGCTTTCGTGCAATAGGGTATTTGACAGTATTAAAAATAAAGTGCCAATTGTTAGCATCTGTGTTTAAATGAATATTGGCATGGGTTTTTACTATTTTTACAAAAAAAATATTCATAATTTTACTAAAAACCCACGAAAAAGATAATAGTTTTCTTATCGATGGTCACGTGACCCAAAACGCTTGGGGTTAGCGGAAAAATTAAAATGACGTCACACGCAAGTAAACTTCCGGTTAAAGTGACATTGCATTGTATCGTTTGACGTTTTAATAACAGTCGTGTGACGTCACACACGTAAGACACCATATTGTCCAGAAAAACATTTTCGCGGCAACTTGAAAATGGAGTTTCTGGAGGATGGAGGTCATGGCCCAATCTCCCTATTCCATCCATACCTGTGGGAAGGCCTGTGCCCCAGCAGTGGGGACATTAATATGCTGATGATGATTGTGTTAATATAAAGGAGCGGAAAATCTTGCGTATGTTCCAAAAGTTTTAATCAAAACCAGAAGAGTCTGGTCCTCTATGGCATCTACAGGGAAGGCCTGTGCCCCAGCAGTGGGGGCATTAATTGGCTGATGATGATAATGATTTTATATTTTACTAGAGAAGAGAGGAAATCCACGAATAGCAAATACGTCAAACTACCGTGACACATATAAAGTATGGCATGAGTATCCTAAAGTGATATTTGCATATTGGCATTTCCGACAATTCTATGTGCAGAGACTGCTTGGAGAAGGTGGAGACGAGTTCTGTACCCCAAGAGTGTGAAGTGACTTCATGAGCTATCTCATATTAAAGTTGTGGCGGCGACATCTACACGCCCCACATATAACTAACATAGAGGAAACAATCTTACGCCTCCTCAAGAGATGGCGCTACCGGCGCTGCGTTCACAACGTAAGGAAGCCTACATCGCGCAAGTGAAATTCGGCAGCCAACAGTTCATATATATATATACGATGCCCGACCAACATCAGTCGGGCCGCGGCCCCCGAGCTAACATCACCCAGACGGAGGAAGATCTTCCTCTTTGGCATTCCTACAAAGTCATTTTTCAATTTGAGGACTCTGTATATAATACAGGGAGAAAAAAACAGCCCTTAGTTTCTTGCCGGTTATTAATAGGCTGATGATGACGATGATGGAGGGGGTACATAGCCCACCGAATTAGCAAACTGAAGTGGCAGTGGGCTGGTCACATTAGCCGCAGAACTGATGGACGTTGGAGCCGGAAAGTTCTTGAGTGGAGACCGCGACTCGGTAAACGTAGTGTAGGACGCCCTGAGACAAGATGGGATGATGATATTCGTAGGCTGGCTGGAGTGGGCTGGATGAGAGTAGCACAAAATCGGGAGCAGTGGCGTGCATTAGGGGAGACCTATGTCCAGCAGTGGACGAACATGGGTCGATGATGATGATGATGATGACGATGATATGTCGTAGTCATAGCTATTAATATTGTTTGTTGCTGTTATTTCTATGTTCATAAGCTGTCAGCTGCCCTTAGATAATAAATAATATTAATGAAATAAAGAAAGTCCAGTTTACCTCAGCCGGTGGGTCAGCCAGTACAGTGCATAACAGTTCAGCTCTGAACCCTTCGCCGGTGTGGACCCACGACCGCTCCACAGTGATTTCCGGCGGATCTGGAACAAAGAAATTATAATATTATTATTATGTTCTTGAAACAATACATCCATTTAAATAATAAAATATTTAAAACTAATTCATGACTATTTACAATGCAAATAACTTACTTGAATGATTGAATATTCTTTATTGCACTAAAATACATCTTTATATATAAAACTCAAAGGTGACTGACTGACATAGTGATCTATCAACGCACAGCCCAAAACACTGGACGGAACGGGCTGAAATTTGGCATGAAGGTAGATTTTATGACGTAGGCATCCGCTTAGAAAGGATTTTGATCAATTCTACCCCCAAGGCGATAAAATAGGGAATGAAACTTTATCAATTTTAAACCGATCGGACTGAGACTTTGCATGCAGGTACAAGAAGAATCATAGATGAATGTCATTGTTTATAATACAATCCTGAGAACAAAAACTGTAGTCTACACTTCAGCTCTACACCGAAGCGAAGCGAGGGCGGGCCGCTAGTAAACCATAAAACTCAGGAATGCAAACACAAAAGGCGGCCGTTTTGTTGAGGTAGCAATCTCTACCAGTCAACCTTTGGCTAAATGAAACCATACCATGAGAATAGAAGAAACAGCGGGCTAGTGCATTGTAATAATAAATATAATAAATGTAAATATAAGAATATAAAATATAATAAATAAATAAATAAAATAAATATTTCCAACACTCACACCAATTAGCCTAGCCCCAAAGTAAGCACTATAAGACTTGTGTTATGGGATACTAGGGTAACGGATACAATACATATACTGTACATATATAAGTATATTTTTTTATAGAATTTTTACTCCAGTCATGGATGTTTAATATGTATAATATTAAACATCCATGACTGGAGTAAAAATGCTCGCATTCATCACACAAACATCTGCCCCCACCGGGATTTGAACCCGGGACCTTTCGAGTGGGCGACACCATGAAACCCGGCCTACAAACCACTCGACCACGGAGGTCGTCTTAATAATAAGTACATAAGGAAGCAACAAAATACAATATAAAGTATTTAACAGATGAAAAGAAAAAGATCAGGCAGAGTTCACCTTGAGGAAATCTCTTATCTATTAGACAAGTCCGTCCGTCCGTCTGTGGTGCTGTTTCAGCGGCCAAACCGTAAGAGATAGATAAAGAGAATATTTAAGTTATAAGTTAAGAATAGTCTGATAAGACTACAAACCGGATTTGAGTAACGTAGCACTTCCGGTTTTCGAGAAATCAGGTTTTGGTGAATATTTGGTTCACTGGTTTGCTAGTATTCCTTAATTTTAATAGCAAAGGAGTCCCTCGTCTGCGCACGTTTAATATCCAGAGGTAAAGAGTTCCACAATAGGGTATTTGTCAAATACCAGCTCGGAGGAAGATCTTCCCCTTTGGCCTTCCCACAATACGTTTATACCATGAACTAATTATATATACAGGGTGTCCCACGGGTTAGTCACACGGGGAGAGAAAGTATATTAAATATTGAAGATAGGGTGTTTTATACTGAAAGAAGACATCATTTTTGATGTGTAACATCTTTCCTCTTGCTTTCGTGCAATAGGGTATTTGACAGTATTAAAAATAAAGTGCCAATTGTTAGCATCTGTGTTTAGAATGAATATTGGCAGGGGTTTTTACTATTTTTACAAAAAAAATATTCATAATTTTACTAAAAACGCAACGAAAAAGATAAAAGTTTTCTTATCTATTGTCACGTGACCCAAAACGCTTGGGATTGGCGGAGCCTAAAATGACGTCACACGCAAGTAAACTTCCAGTTAAAGTGACATTACATTGTATCGTTTGACGTTTTAGTAACAGTCGTGTGACGTCACACACTAGTAGGACGCCATATTGTCCAGCGAAACGTTTTCGCGGCAACTTGAAAATGGAGTTTTTGATTTGGTTATTTTCGCTGAAATACACAACAGAATGATGAATATAATGTATAATGTATGGTGAATCCTCATGTTCGTAATTCTGTTTTCTTTTTTTTTTACTAATTGCTGTAACTGGAATTTTGCCGTAGTAATTGGAATAAATAAATAAATAAATATTTTTTACGGACTCCATAAACATTAGTCAATAACTTGAGATCGTTTTCTAAAACTTGCCAAATACCCTATTTAACAGCTGTTACATAGAATGACTTGGCTACGAAATCAGTGGAGTGGAGTGGGATAACTAAGTATAGGTTATGAGAAAACCGAAGATCACGGGCAGAATTAAAAGAATGAAAAGTGAAACGCTTCTTAAGATAGAGAGGAGGGGATGAGGAGAGAGAGGTAGAGACTTAATTACTTAAATAATATATAATTTACAAAATATAAAATATGTCACCCCCAGCGCCGCCGTCAGTAATGGCACGGTAATATTATCTATACAGTATTGTGACTCCGCCCTGTCCTTGAAAATAAATGCCTACGGCCGAGCGCTGCGCTAGCACGCGGTAGGGCCGCCCGCCTACAGTATTTTATGTAGTTTTGTTTTTAACGCGAGTGTAGGTAGATTACTCGTTTGTCTCTTTTTTCATCCTAACCACTTATTTATATATTATTCCAGATATTTTGCCCGATGGAAAAATCGAAATACCTAAATATTAGAAACAAATTACGTACTAGTAGATAGGTATATAAAAAATATTCTATAAAGTTAAGACACCTTTCCAATATTTCAGGTAATTTAAAAACTGATATCTCTGGGTGTGTTATTGAAGAGTTCAAGCAACTAAAAACAGCAATTGCGCTGTTGTACAATATTTATCGTCGTTTGTTCTTTTCCATACTAAATTATGTAGGTATCTACATAATTAAATCAAATATTTACAATACAAAACGCACGTTTAAGCAAGGCTAACTGCATAAAAAACAATTCAGACCGTTCGGTCGTCGTTGCGGCGCGGCGGCGGCGGCGCATTCGCGACTGGGTGCACGCCGAGAGCACATCGAACTCGAGTGGCGTAGGTATGACTCGCTTTCCGACCGTTTGTATGAAGATAGAATACTGTATGATATTATTACCGTGTGGTAATGGTGCCCAATATGCTGGCAGCATTGCCACGTTGGATGGCAAGGCTGATCCGTTGGCCAAGATAGCTGACAGCCTTTTGGTCACCAGTCAACTCAGTGAGCCTCTTTGACAGTTCCTTAAAAAGGGAACAGGGGTTTGGAGCACATGGGCCCATACGGCACAAATATGTAGTTCTCATTGACCAGGATTATTCCGACATTGACTGTGTTTGATGAATGAAACACATTGACGTTCCGTCTACAAACATTTCAATGGAGTTTCAACCAGAATTTATACACGAGACGCGTGTTGCCAGAATCGACAGGCAATTATTTTCGAGGATGGCGGGAACTGTCCTTTCGTCTATTTTGTATTTGTGCTTATACATACATATAATAAAATGGTAGGAAAATCAAAACTGTACATTGAATATTTTTATAAAGAATACTTGGGATGTGATCTACAATCGATACCGAAGCCAAAAATATAGTTTTGTAGAATTTTTCTCTGTTTGTCTGCATGTATGTCTGGGATAAACTCAAAAAGTACTGCGTGGATTTACTTCAAATCTGGCAAGAATATTATTAAGAAGTCGGGTCAACATTATAGGCTACATATTATCACGCTATCATCTACGGGGAACGAGCAGTGAACCTTTATTTCTAACTAACTCTACGCGTACGAAGTCGTGGGCGGCCGCTAGTCTATATATATAAAACTCAAAGGTCTGACATTTATTTATTTATTTATTCAGTAACACATGCCGGCTTACAGAAATATCCAAAACGCCGGCAAGTCATACATAAAAACATTAACATACATTCCAAATCAACAAAATTAAGAAAAAAAGAAAAGAAAAACAAAAAATAGTAAAATAAATAATCATGTCAAATTAATAAACAATTAATAATGTCATATCATTCCAAGAAATTAAAGAGATTAATGTCAACTAAGTACAATTAATGTCAAATATAATCTAATCTAATTAATAAATAATGTCATACCAATTTCATAAATAAATTGTCAAATTCAGAATTAGTCAATGAGTTAGACATAGTGATCTATCAACGCACAGCCCAAACCACTGGTCGGATTGGGCTGAAATTTGGCATGCAGGTAGATATTATGACGTAGGCATCCACTTAGAAAGGATTTTGATCAATTCTACCCCTAAGGGGATAAAATAGGGAATGAAAGTTTGTATGAAACTTTGTCAATTTTAAACCGATCGGGCTGAGACTTTGCCTGCAGGTATAAGAAGAATCATAGATGAATGTCATTGTGTATAATACAAGCCTGAGAACAAAAACTGTAGTCTACACTTCAGCTCTACACCGAAGCGAAGCGAGGGCGGGCCGCTAGTTACCTATAAAGTGCACGCAAATCTTCCGCAATTACAATCCTACTGAACAATGTAATATTAATGGATGGGGATTTGCGGATCAAATTTTTTGTAATGTATGATGATGAGTAGGTTTAATAAGCAGTGTTTAAATTACGACGACCTCCGTGGCCGAGTGGTTTGTACGCCGGGTTCCATGGTGTCGCCCACTCGAGAGGTCCCGGGTTCGAATCCCGGTGCGGGCAGATGTTTGTGTGATGAATACGAGCATTTGTACTCCAGTCATGGATATTTAATATGTATTTCTATATAAATATGCTTATGTATTTACTGTATATGTATTCTATCCGTTACCCTAGCATCCCATAACACAAGCCTTACAGTGCTTACTTTGGGGCTAGGCTAATTGGTGTCAGTGTTGGAAATATTTATTAATTTATTTACTTACATAATACTTGAAGTTGGAACTCCGTGACCAGAGGCGGGCCCACTCCGTTGTCCACAGTGCAAGCATATCTTCCGCTATGGGTGCGTTCCAACCGGGACAGCTGTAGTTGAGGCCCTTCGCCGAGGCGAGAGTTACTGTCGTTCTGGAACACGACCTGCGGATAAAGGGATAGCTGTGGAAATACAAATTGTGTAAATGCCAGAAAAAAATATATAAAATTCTTGCGTTCAGGGAGTCCGTAAAAGATAGAAACATCGAGAATAGGTAAAAATCTCTGATCAAAGTGTGTTTTATTAAAATTATACAGGGCGTCCCACGGCTACCTCACACGGAGGGAAAGTATATTAAATGTTGAAGATAGGATATTTTACTGAAAGAAGACATCATTTTATTTTTAATAATAACTAGAACTGCTTTCACTGATTTTTTTAAAATCGCCTGTTCCAACTGGGAATCAAACTCGTGAAATTTCGAAAAAAAACCCGACATATTTTATGTTAACCATCGAAAGGGTTAATCATAAGGATTATGTTTTGCTAAATAACATAGCATTTTAAATGAATGTCTTATTACGTGATAAAAATAATAAAGTGATTTACAAATTATAGTACGTATGCATTTCTTTTTGAATTCAGTTACAATGCGATTGACTGAAATTTGTAATAATAATTCGAAAATGGACCACATACAAACGTAGCAATACAAGGCTTGAAAATTCAAGCCTGTGTTCTTTTGTTTTTCGTGAGTTTCATTTTCGTTTATTTGCAATTTTTTGTTAATTTACTTACCATGGCGTATCAATATAAAATAGATTTAATATAAACTTACTTTATGAACCACAAAGACATATCATTAGGTTAGTGGTGGTATCGTAAAAGATATCCTGATAGAGACAAACCTTCTCGATATGTGTTTGATAAGCCATGGTAAGTAAATTAACAAAAATTGCAAATAAATGAAAATGAAACTCACAAAAAACAATAGAACAGACACTTGAAAATTTATGTATTCCAGTTTAGAATTATTATTACAAATTTCTGCCAGTCGCATTGTAACTATGAGTTCAAAAAGAAATGCATACGTACTACAGTTTGTATAAGACTTTATTATTTTTATCACGTAATTCACATTCCTTTCATTTAAAATGCTATGTTATTTAGCAAAAAATAATCCTTATGATAAACCCTTTCTATGGTTATCAAAAAAATATGCTATGTTATTTTTTTCGAAATTTCACGAGTTTGATTCCCAGTCGTAGCAGGCGATTTTAAAAAAATCTGTGAATGCAGTTCTATTTATTATTAAAAATAAAATGATGTCTTCTTTCAGTAAAATGTCCTATCTTCAATATTTAATATACTTTCCCTCCGTGTGAGGTAGCCGTGGGACGCCCTGTATATCGCTTGTTATTAATTAAGCGAAAATACTTGAAACATTTCAACTCGATCCAGGCACAAGACATACTATTCAGTAACCTGGCTCTAGTGGTTTTTTTCTAGTAAGATTTTCTTAAGAATTATAAATCTAATAGTTTAATACTTAAATAATATACTTATAAATCCTTTATTCAGTTTAAGTTACAGAATATGGCGCTACCGGCGCTGCGCTTATAACGTATGGAAGCCTACATCGCGCAAGTGAAATTCAGAGGCTAATTTATCATACCATACAATATGTAATGCCGCGGACCTGAGCTACCATCACACAGCTCGGACGAAGACCTACCCCTTTGGGCTTTTTACACGGGGGATCCATATGGGACATTTCAGTTTCAGAAAAAAACGACAAAAGAAGGAAATAAAAAGGCGCATAAGAAGTTCATATCGCGAGTCATCTCTTCCAAGAAACTTTGGAAGGTCTGTCCTGCATTTCCGAGTCCGAAGCTCATATAAGGAAACTCGTATAGTCCAAAAGGTGTCGTAATGTATAACGCGACTCAACTAAGAATAGGACCGACTGGGTGCCATATTGTGACGTCATAGCTGTCAATTTATACCAAGTAGGTAGAGTGGGCAAAAAAAAGTTTTTATTTAATAAAGTTTATTTTCTAAGATTAAATGAGAAAATCTATCACATTTTTGTAATAAAAATTATTTACTAAGATTGAGAATAATATTTATTTATTAAGACTGTGAGAAAAAACGTTAATCAAAATCTATCTCTTCAATTCCGCTTATCCCTGCATTACCGCCGGAGTAGTTATGAATGATCATGCACTATTACTTGGTTACATACGAACATGCATCCTTTATGTAAACGAAAGTTTAAATCAAGTTTCTGAACGCAACTTCAAGTGACATTTGGTTAAAGATTTAGCTCATCAACCATTCATAGCCAAAGATCAATAAATGGAAAAAAAATATCAACCAATATTAATTATTTATTTTATTATTGACGACCTCCGTGGTCGAGTGGTTTGTACGCCAGGTTTCATGGTGTCGCCGACTCGAGAGGTCCCGGGTTCGAATCCCGGTGGGGGCAGATGTTTGTGTGATGAATACGAGCATTTGTACTCCAGTCATGGATGTTTAATATGTATTTCTATATAAATATACTTATATATGTACAGTATATGTATTCTAGCCGTTACCCCTAGCATCCCATAACACAAGCCTTACAGTGCTTACTTTGGGGCTAGGCTAATTGGTGTGACTGTTGGATTTTTTTTTATTATGAATATTTGTTATTGTTTGTTTACAAATGTTTGGTTTATATTCTAGAATTAGCTTAGTACTAAAAATGGGTTCCTTGATTTTTTTGCAAACCGTACTTTTCAAGCGACATTTGACAGATGGAGGTCATTGGCTTTCCTATTCTTATTCGAATGAACTCACCAGTTTATGCCACGTGACGCTCGGCACTGGGTTGCCAGCGGCGCGGCACTCGAGCACCGCAGCGCCTCCGCGGCGCGCGGCCGCGTGACGAGACTCGGGCGACGCGCGGACCGACGGCGGCACCAACACTTCCACTGTATGCACTTGGTCGCGGGCCACGCGGTCCGAGATCTGACAGACGTAGTCGCCTGCATCCTGAAGTGTTAAGAAAACACTTAGGTAACATATAATAAAATGGTAGGAAAGGCAAAACTTTACATTTAATATTTTTGAAGTGAAAACTTCTTTAGCGGCGTTGTACACTTTTTTTGTATGGGTGGGATCGCATCATGACACACAATAAAATTGGTAAGGTTGTTGACTTTCAATATATTGGACGAAACATAGTAATATTTCATTTTATCGTATTAAAATAATAAGTCTTTAACTAGGATGTCCACGTGGCAGCTTTATTGCGAAGAAAATGAGTTTTTTTTACAATAGATGTCGCTAGGTGCGCTTAAATGTGATTCATGTAAGTTGATTTCTTTACAATAGATGTCGCTAAGTGCGCTTAAACGTTAATACGTGATTCATGTAAGTTGATTTTTCTGAGAGATAAACTTTTTTAATGTAATATAAATTGTCATGTTTGTGTACGATAGCGCAATAAATAAATATTGTATTGTACCACATACATAATAGTACTTTTATACTGATAATTAAAGCAATTCATGCAAAATTATTCCCTAACCATTCCAAAATATCAAAAATGCACAACGTCAATATTCAAGTTTTCACTTCTGCCGGCACTCCAGGAGTGCAACCCGTCGTTTTTTTTAAAGAATACTTGGAGTGTGATTTACAATCGATACCGAAGCCAATAATATAGTTTTTAGAATTTTTGTCTGTTTGTCTGTATTTATGTCCGGGATAAACTCAAAAAGTACTGCATGGATTTACTTCAAATTTGGCACGAATATTAAGAAGTCGGGTCAACATATAGGCTACATATTATCACGCTATCACCTACGGGGAACGAGCGGTGAACCTTTATTTCTAACTAACTCCACGCGTACGAACCGCGGGCGGCCGCTAGTAATATATATAGATAGATTGTTAAATACAATACCCTTTCTGTGCATCGCGCTTAGCGCTGTACAGCTGTATAATAAAATCTCATATCCGATTTATTTTAGACATTAGTTTGATATGCATTACGTCATTAAACAGCAAAATGTCGCTATTTCTGCCTTTGTCCTATTGGAGGCCCTGGGCATATTAGGATAATGGGGCCCCTATGACCCCCGTTTGCTGATCTAACAGGAAATAGGGAATTTGTATTTTATCTGAGGTGAGACCCTATCGATCGCGGGGCCCTGAACACTTGCCCAAAGTGCCCACTGGGAAAGACGGATCTGCACATGATGATGATAAATAAAGTGACTCTTCATCTTAAATTTTAAAATACAATACCCTTTCTGTGCATCGCGCTTAGCGCTGTAGAGCTGTATAATAAAATCTCATATCCGATTTCAGTAGCTACTATTTTAGACATTAGTTTGATATGCATTACGTCATTAAACAGCAAAATGTAGCTATGTCTGCAGAAGTCAGCCAGTATTAGATATTTGACATTTGTCAGAAATCAGAAGAAATGAGATCGTAAATGCATTCTGTAGAATACCAATGCTACTGCGTGAGCGCAGTCGGGAAAGATCATTAACGCTTAAGTAATTTACGTCATCATCATCATCATCATCATCAGCCTATTAATGTCCCCACTGCTGGGGCATAGGCCTTTCCTATGGATGGAATAGGGAGATTGGGCCATGACCCACCACGCTGGCCCAGTGCGGATTGGTGGGTGCTAACGACTAGATGCAGCCGGGACCAACGGGTTAACGTGCCTTTGGAAGCACGTAGGAGCGTGAGATAGTAAATTTCTGGTCACCCATCCAATGACTGACCACTGCGAAAGTTGCTTAACTTGAAGCCGAACGCGCTAACCACTTGCACCATCGAGCTTCTCACGTAGTAATTTACGTACGTAGCGGAATTGCTACTGACTGCTGTCATATGGTGGCAGTTAATACTTGGGATGATAACAAACTCTTTTTTCTTTGTCTATAATAGGAAGATTATGGACACTTATTTAGCTTTCGTAAATCAACTACAAAATTAAAAAGATTAAGAGTTTCAAAGTCTGTTCCAGACTTTAACTCACTTAATCGGTCGTAACGTCTCTTCTATGTGAACATTGTAGAAAAAAAAACATACAATACAGCCAAATAGTATTTGGCCGACTCATCAAAAAGATGACCCAATGCATAATCGTACCTGATTGTAAACGGTAAAAAGGCCTTCTAGCTACAGTTTTTGCATTGGATTTGATGATTATTTTCTTGATCGCCCCCAGTGGAAAACATATTAACAATCACTGAGAATGTCGTTAACTTCGAGGTAGGAGAGCAGTAAGCGGTTATTAAAATGTCTCTCTATAACCTTACAGATTATAGAAGTAATGGCGATCGGATTCTACGATAGCAGATGGTGGAAAGACTTATCTATGTTTTCAGCTCTTGCAGGATAGAAAAGTTGGTGCGATGTGCTGTACGCCCAAGGAATACCCAGCATTCTTTGCCAGCATTACATCTCGAAAGCGCTGATGTGCAACAACAGTCTTGGTTAGTTTTCTTTAGGGTTCACAACCAGACCCGTCTTTCTCAGTCGATACTTTGGGCAAGTGCCCAGGGCCCCGCGATCGATAGGGGCCCCCCTCAGATCAAATACAAAGTCCCTAGTTCCTGTTAAATCACCAAACGGAAGTCATAGGGGCCCCATTATCCTAATATGCCCAGGGTCTCCAATAGGTCAGACGGCACTGTTCACAACTACACCCCTACAAGAATATAGAAAGCACCAGAGACCACATTCTGGTATGAGCCAGTACAACTGATGTTTGAGCCCAGGTATAAAAGGTCATAAACTACCTCAAAGCAGGACAGGGTTTAAGGCAGAACATTGTGAACTGTGGTCTAAGGATCCCCACAAAAGATCTAAAACACTAAATTTCGGCGAGGCACCAACCAGGGCGGACAGTGCCGCCTTTGTCCTATTGGAGGCCCTGGGCATATTAGGATAATGGGGCCCCTATGACCCCCGTTTGCTGATCTAACAGGAAATAGGGATTTTGTTTAACAGGAAATTGGGAAAAATGCATGGACATAGTGTTTCTTGTAATTTGTTATTTCATGGGTATGAGTCAGTTTTTGTAACAGTAATATGGTACCTATCTAATGCCGCTTCCTATATACTAAATATAAAATTTATTGTAACTATATATCTATATCCTAAATAATGTAAAGGAAGGTGACTTCAGAAGTATCTCTGAAGTCATTTTTCAACCTGACGACTCTGTATATATCAATACAGGGAGAAAAAAGCAGCCCTTGCTGAGTTTCTTGCCGGTTCTTCTCAGTACAAGGTCTGCTGCCGTAGTTTTGCGAACCGATGGCGTAGCTTCTTGACCTTCACAAGTGCTTGTAACAGCCTAGACTGAATAAATGACTTTTCATTTCATTTCATTTGTATTTTATCTGAGGTGAGACCCTGTCGATCGCGGGGCCCTGGACACTTGCCTAAAGTGCCCACTGGGAAAGACGGATCTGCACATGATGATGATTAATAAAGTGACTCTTCATCTTAAATTTTGATGCAGAAGTTGAATAGCAGTTTTCCACCAATAAAGTAAGAGATGACGAGAATAAAACATTATACATTTTTATACCATGAACTAATTATATATACAGGGCGTCCCACAGGTTTGTCAAACGGAGGGAAAGTTCATACATCAAAAAAAAATTGAGACACTTGCATAAACTGATATATTTTCAAAGACAGGGACTTTATATTTTATCTTTTGACTACCTCCGTGGCCGAGTGGTTTGAACGCCGGGTTTCATGGTGTCGCCGACTCGAGAGGTCCCGGGTTCGAATCCCGGTGGGGCCAGATGTTTGTGTGATGAATACGAGCATTTGTACTCCAGTCATGGATGTTTAATATGTATTTCTATATAAATATACTTATATCTGTACAGTATATGTATTCTATCCGTTACCCTAGTATCCCATAACACAAGCCTTATAGTGCTTAGTATGAGGCTAGGCTAATTGGTGTGAGTGTTGGAAATATTTATATTTATTATTATTATCACTATTATATTATCTGAGGTCCTGGGCACTTGCCCAAAGTGCCCACTGGGAAAAAGGGGTCTGAGGTCGGAACCGTCTCGTCAACAAGCAAGGGCGGATCCAGCTTTGGCGCCAGGGGGGGTCATATAGCCAGCTTTGGCTCCAGGGGGGGTCATATAGTCGTGGTATATTAAATATTGAAAGTATTTAAATAAAATCCCCCTGGGTTTGGTCCATCTGTACCCAGCCCAGGGGGGGGGGGGGTCATGATCCCCCCCCCTGGATCCACCCTTGTCAACAAGCGCCTTTAAGGTAAAGGCTCCTAATCAGAAATTCGAATTTCAGCTACACTTAATTCTGATACATGAGAAAAAAAATGGTTGCCTGTAAAGTCGGTTTTACGGGCGAAGATTTTACGTGACAACGTCTTTTTCTCGGTAGAATATTTATTGATATGAATATAATTAAATTGCACAATAGGAACAAGGAATTGAATGAAAATAAGAATTGCACAAATTTTAACTATAGAAATATATTTTGTTTACTAAAACATTGTACATGTAAACTTAAACTTAACACGAGAGACTCATCGTAACGTTACCGAGCGTTACACTTTTTCATAAGTGACTCCCAGCCGCAACCTAATTTAAGACGTTGTCACGTCAAAAACAAGCACGTAATAAACCATTATATTTTCAACAACAAGGTTTCCCTCCTGTTCGAGCGAATGTAATCCGTTTGCGATTTAATACAATTACGGGAGTAGAATAATTATAATAGCTCCCTACATAGCTCAGGAGACCCAGGTAGGTAAAGTCCGTATAAAAAAAAGTTCAGAACCCCCGGTAAACACGATAATTGGCCCCGGTCGAGAAATATGATAATCCCCCGCATAAAACCTTTGCCGGTGGTGCCTCCTCGTTATTTTTTATGTGTGGCAACATCGAGGTGCGTCCCGTCCCGCGCAATTTCGTCCGCCATGTTGGTTGTGTGCGTCAATTGTTTCGGAAAATGTTTTTATC